GTTAGGGTTAGGGTTAGGGTTAGGGTTAGGGGTTAGGGGGTAGGGGTTAGGGGTAGGGTTAGGGGGTAGGGTTGGGGTTAGGGGTTAGTGTTAGAGTTTGGGGTTAGGGTTTAGGGTTACGGTTTAGGGTTAGGGGTCAGGGTTTAGGGTTAGGGGTTAGGGTTTAGGGTTAGGGTTTAGGGTTAGGTTTAGGGGTTAGGGTTTAGGGTTAAATTTAGGGGTTAGGGGTTAGTGTTAGGGGTTAGGGGTTAGTGTTATGGTTAGGGTTTAGGGTTAGGGGTTGGGGTTTAGGGTTAGGGTTTAGGGTTAGGGTTTAGGGTTAGGGTTTAGGGTTAGGGTTTTGGGTTAGGGAATAGGGTTAGGGGTTAGGATTTGGGGTTAGGTTTAAGGTTAGGGTTAGGGGTTAGGGTTTAGGGTTAGGTTTAGGGGTTAGGGGAGCGTGGCATCATGCAACCGTAAATGGACACCTGAGAACGGAGCTCCTCCATTAACCTCCCCTTGCTGGCAATTATAGCCTCTGAAAGCTGACAATTTTCTCACCTGGGCATGGGAAGAACCTCTAAATCATCCAGAGCAGCCGCGGGGGTGAAAACAAGGTCGGTCTTCACATTTTTCTCACCCAAGCAGTCCCCCATAGCTCCGGGGCCTAAAAACGCAGTTAACCCTAAAATGGCGACCAGACCAGGCGATCTCCCTCCCGGGGGCGTAGTTCTCAAAAGGGAGGAATTTATAGCCACAATTCAAGAGCTGGAAAAAATATGGCAGCAGTTACAGCTGACATTATTAAACCAGTTGCAGATCAGTTTGCTGACTTTCAAAAATCACTAGACAAAGTGGCACAAACGGCTGACTCGGCATTAGAAGCAGGCCTAGCAGCACAAGCGGATACCAAGTTTTTATTGAAAAGAGAAGATTGGGCCACAGAAAAATTGATTGCTATTGATAACCAACTTCGTACCCATAACCTTAAATTTAGAGGCTTTCCGGAGAAAGAGGAACAAAATACAGAGCTCCCAGTATTCATAGCCTCGTGGCTTGCATCTGCTATGAAAACAGATCCCGGAATTGCTCCTTTGCTGGACTATGCTTATAGGATGGGTCCCCATGTACAACGTCAAACCAGAACATGGCCACGAGATATATTAGTGCGTTTCACCAATCTGAGAACAAAGCAAGCAGTTATGGCCTTAGCAAGAAGAAAAGGATTTATTATGTACAAAGATAGCAAAATAATGGTCATGCAAGACTTGGCACAAGAAACCTTGATAAAAAGACGTCAACTCAAACCTATAACTACAACTTTATCAAAAGTCAATATCAAATATAAATGGATCTCCTACCACAAATTGCAAGTGGTGTTTCAAGACCATACTTTATATGCAACTGATCTGGATTCAAAAGAAACTTCTTTATGTAAAGCAAAAGTATTGGCGTTCAGGTCCGAAGTCAATTAAACTTTTGGTTTGGAAACTGCGAAAACAAACCACAACTAATCTTATACCTGCAGTTAGAGACAAATTGGGAAATTTGAAATGTGCATCTCAAGATATTAAAGATAGTTTTGTAGGTTTAGGGTTAGGTTTAGGGTTTAGGGTTAGGGTTTAGGGGTTAGGGTTAGGAAATAGATTTTTTTTTTTTAGGAAATAGATTTTTATTTAAAATTAACCATTCTACATACATACTTTGATTTGCTTTGATTTGCAGATTACATTATTTCTACAATTATACAATTATACATGGAAACCAAAAACCAAATATACCAAATTTTACATTTTACATTAACTAAACATTACTAAATTAGTCAACTTTAGATTACATTACTAAACTTTACTAAACTTTACTAAACTTTACTGAACTCTACAGAACTTTACTAAACTTTATATTACCTCATTGACGTTATTCACATCACTCACACCACCCATGTGACTTACATTACCCTAACCCTAACCCTAGAACCAAATATACTAAATTTTACATTTTACCTTAACTAAACATTATTAAATTAGTCAACTTTAGATTACATTACTAAATTTTATATTACCTTATTAGCGTTAATTACATCACTCACACCACCCACGTGACTTACATTTCCTTACCTTCCTTCACTTTACTTTTAAAAGACATTACGTTACATAAAATTATCAAATTATTTAAGTTAAAAAAACAACCATATGCTGTATACTGTATATAAAGTCACAACAAATTCCCATCGTTTCCTTGAGATGTAACTAATTCCCACCCCCTCCAATATAAATTAGAGGAGTGGCCTTATATAATGATAACGAAATTATTACTCAGTTATTGTTTCTTCAGAAGTTTAAAGGGTGGTGGATACAAATGGTCTTGACTAAGCTGCTCATCATTCAAAGAACCCCGGTCATGTCCTTCCTCCATCTCTAATTCAGTGTCATGCTCAGCTTCATCATCCTTCCGCTTAGCTATCTCACAAGAAATAACAGTCACTCTGTCTCTTAAGAATAATTGCCTGTCCTCTAAACGCTTTAATTGTTGCTCAATGTGAGAACTGTCTGGTTTTCCACCCGGTAACTCAGAAACCTTACTCATTTTATCCTTAAACTCAGAAAGTTTCTGGCTTGCCTGTTCATGATCGTGTCTTGCTCATTGAATCAACTCCTCCAACTCTTCTAATGTCATATCATCCACAGTCTCATACCCCTTCTTTGTTATATCCTTCCCACTGTATGTGTTCGTGCTCTTCCCCCCCTCCTCATTCTCTGTTCCCTCTCTTTTTGGTCCCCTTGTCGCCCATTCCTTCCATTCTCATCATTCCCTTCCACCTCCCCATCCTTCAA